GGCAGCGATGGCTCTGTAATCTTCCTTTCTGTGCCTCTGGACTAAAGTGTCCAACCATGCGACGCATTCGATGCCACAGACCTGCACTGACAGCTGATATACTTACAAAAACTAGACAATTGAGTGTCACCTGGACCAATGAGTCAGTTCAGCACAGCGACTTGGAAGAGAGCCATGACCAACGCAATCATGGCACACGTCCTGTGCCATCCCGCCGAACAGCAGATCCTGACAATTGAAGGACCACATAGGAGGGTTATAATTATCCTAGTCCCTGAACCTAAAAAAAACCTCCAAGACCTTCAGCATTCAAAGACTCGAGAAGCCTGAGCAACTTGTCGGGAAAATTGAGGATGAAGTGGAGCGTCTTGAGCGCTGCGGGATGACTATACACCTCGGTCATTAGGGTGAATTCTTGTTAAAATTAAAATTAATTATTATACAACTCGATTCATGAAGCAACACCTGTTCGACCAGGCACCTGTTCCATGATATGCGCGTATAGGCCACATTCTCTGCCAAACCTTCCTCCTTGGGCCTCCCTTGGCTTCCATCCATGACTGTCACTGTCACTGCCCTCAATTGTCAATTGAGTGAAACTGAAATGAATGAAAAATGTACAAATGTCATGAAGCTTCGACACGTGCATTTGCACCTGCAAGCGAACCTCCCATTTGTTAGAAAAGTTACTTTCCCTGTCCAACTTCTCCAACAAGTCTGCCATCTGAGGTGATGGACGATTTCCATGGGCGGCAACCCCATAACCAACGATCACCACTCTCTTCGGCCAAACGTAGGTTTTGCCGCCCACCAAAACTGACCTCACATCGTCATCAGTAGCATCAATAGCCGGTTCGTGGTCTCCACCGTCCCCAATCGTCCGAGTCGTCTTCTTCTTTTCCTTTGCCCCGCCCCAAGTCACCGGAACTTTTCGTTGAGGCGTCTGCGGCTTTCTTGCTGCCGTAGTTCCCGACATCGAATTGGCTGTATGCTATCCCCAAGCTTTGATTGTGCCTCGAATGAACACGGAATTGTAATGATGAAAGTTTAAGCGCCAAAAAAAAGGGCTGCATCAATCTTTGCCAAAGTGCTCTCTAACGTTCTTGTTACAGGCTGACAGAATCCAGGCTTCTGGTTTCTGGATGCCGTCTCTTCCCCGTTTGAAAGCTCTCCTCAAATGTTGTTGCATTGAAACAATGACATGTCAGGTAGCAAATTATTCTCAATTGGAAATTGTCTGAAATGTACTGCAGGTGTCACAAGATCAACAGCCTTTCTCGGGCAGAGCAAATAGAGCAAGTAGATTGCTTGCTGTGCTTTCCGGAGATCCTGGCCCTGCTCCTCGAGACACAATTCCTCAGGGAGATGCTGGAGGGCCACACTCGACATAGCACAACTTGAGCCAGAACTGCAGCATTAGGTTACAAGGGGCTCACAATCAATCACCAAGCAAGCTGACACACACACACACACACACACTCACTGAGCCTTCCGCGCAAATATCACTCACATGCCTTCTGAAACGACTTCACCTGGCAAAATGCAAATTTCATGCCAGCCCTGCCCCCCCCCCGGCTCTGTCAAAACATGCCAGGCAGACCACTTGAGCCAGAACTGCAGCATTAGGTTACAAGGGGCTCACAATCAATCACCAAGCAAGCTGACACACACACACACACACACACTCACTGAGCCTTCCGCGCAAATATCACTCACATGCCTTCTGAAACGACTTCACCTGGCAAAATGCAAATTTCATGCCAGCCCTGCCCCCCCCCCGGCTCTGTCAAAACATGCCAGGCAGACCTTGCCATTGATGCTACCACAATAGTTATACTACCGCAAATCATGCTACCACAATTAGCGCTACCACAATTGTTACTACCACAATTGACAAGTTGATGCTACCAGAACTGATGCTACCAGAATTGATGCCACTGCAAAATCGAATCAACCAAGCCAAGCAATGCCATGCTGACTACCACAGTTGCTGCTACCAGAACTGATGGTATCAGAATTGATGCCACCGCAAAATCGAATCAGATGCCACCGCAACAATCGAAGCAATCAAGCCATGCAATGCCATGCTGACTACCACCATTGACATTGATTGATGCTACCAGAATTGATGCCACTGCAGCATCGAATCAACCAAGCCAAGCAATGCCATGCTGACTACCACAATTGATTGATGCTACCAGAATTGATGCCACTGCAGAATCGAATCAACCAAGCCAAGCAATGCCATGCCGACACAGTAACGGCCTCCCCAGCGTCTTTGCAAACACGAGTGTGCTCTGACAGTCATGCGGACTGGAGACTTCTTTAAATGCCACCCCCATTCGGCCAAGATGGGGTCACCCTGCTGAGTATGCGCCGTCTTTGCCCTATGCGGAGCGCTGAAATCCGATTGCCTTGCATACCGGCCCGCAAGAGGACAGGTCATGCTCGTCATCGAGTGCACCGGAATCGCTGCGCAACGCGCCGGTTACTGAAGACCTGTCAATGAGGCACAGCATAAGATGCCATGCGGGGCCATGCCGGCAAGCAGCAGTGATCGAAGTTAATACTTCGACCGTGGTGTGGGTACGTGGCATAGTATTTATTAATAGTAGCGAGGCCTTCCCTGCAATCTGTGTGCATTTCACCCCGCGGCGGACACACCACCTGGCTGGACAGGCGAGCAGCACACAGAGTAAATCCCCAGCGCCCGGCCAGCGACGCTGTCCCACACGGATCAAGGACCCATTGCTCACGTGGTCCGAGCCCGACTGGAGCGGTCTCTAAGACCACTCTGAGCTTGGGCGTGCAGGATGGGTAGGGCGAGTCGAACCAAGCCAAGCAAGCCAAGCAAGCCAAGCAAGCCAACCAAGCAACCAAGCCAACCAAGCAGTGGCACGTGACAAAGGACCACGTTTCAGCTTCCAACACATCCGGCTTGGACAGAAGCGAACACCATCGCTCAATACATCCGGCTTGGACAAATGCAAAAATGTTTGGCAAAAAAGGGTTTCCTCACGCTGGCTTCCCAGTGTGCTTTAAAATGTTTTGGTCAACGGCCGTGCCCCCGGCACTGAAATTCCTAATAAAATACATAAATAAGCTAATACTACAACAGCTTGAAACCTTAAATCGGTATATTGAACTGCACTATTGAGGAAATTGGTTTTGGCCTTCAAACCCCCCTGATCCAGCCCCCAAGGATCCAACCCTCAAAACGAGTGTGTGGAATATAGATACAATATACTGTATACATACACTATATATACTCTGTATACTGCATATATACACTATATATACTCCATACAGTATACTGATACACTCTACATATACTATGTGTCCTATAAAGTATAATAAAGTATATGAATATGATATATAGATATAAACAATGTACATATATAAATACACCATGTACACTATATATACAGTCTCCATATATACACATATATATTTACATATACACACTGTATATACACTATCTATATAAAAATATACATATGCAGCATATATATATATATATATATACACGTCGTATATAGACTATACTTACAATGTATGTATTATATGTGCACAGTACAAATATATATATATATATATATATACATAGAGGCATGTATGTATACATCTTACCATATAGCATCTATATAAAAGATCCAACACATACTACGTATACAATGTATAAAACCCATTTTCAATGTGTATATATATATGCTACAATATACATATATATATGCTATAAAAAAACATATATATATATATATATAGATTACACTGTACTAAATTTATGTACTCTCCCTACTATATGTGCCTTTGGGCTACATATACATCATATGCCATATATACTATATATATATATATCATATATTTATAGATATACCATATACATATTTCTGTTTTAACATACTATACACACACATATACTGTATGTACTCTGTATACTGTATACACTGCATGTTCTATACATACTCTGTATATATATATATATATATATATATATATATTTCTACATACTCTGTATATACTTTATATACTATCGACACTATATATACATACTATATACACTGAATACACTCTTCAAACTATGTATAAACCAATACATGTATACTGTATACCGTATATACATATACATGCACTACATAATCTTTATGTACTATATACTTACCAATATTTACCTTTTTTTATTATATCTCCCACATTTACTATCTTCACTATATCTACTATCTCTATTACAGCTCCTACATATTCTATGTATACTATACTTACTGAACTACTATTTCTACTATATGTACTATATGTTCTCTTTATATACTATATAGAATGTAAATGCTCAATATAGTATAAATGTATTTACTCTTGATATATACTAGACACCCTATACTATTTAGATATATGTGACAGACAATGTTTTTTTGTATGTTTTATGAAAATACTCCATATGTACGTATATACACTTTCGATATTTATGTACAGACACATACGAAGTATACAGTCATATACTGGCTGTACTTTGTATGTATCGCTGTCTAACAACTGGCAATCTATTTGTCTTGTCTTGTCTTGCCACATGTGACTGTGAGAATCATGGGAATCGAAACCTGGACTAGCAGAACATGACAAACAGGTGAACAGTGAAACGACTGGACCCTGACGCGCGTGTTTTCCCAAAAAAACACTCTGGCGTTGGGGTGCTCGTTAGGAATTGCACCGGGTGAGCCGCGATACGAGGTGACGCGCGGCAGGCATCCCGAGGTGCGGCCTGGTGCAAGGTTCCGGGTTTCGGGGTTTGCCTTGTTGTCGCAGACGTCCGGGACAGCCTCGACCGGCACACGATGCGCAAATTGCTCGCGTCAGCCGTCCTCCGCCCTCCCAACCGCTTTTCCGATCCTCTTCGCCTTCGGCCTTGAGGGTGAGCATCTGCACGCGCATTCCAACATTGCCAGTACCGGATGTACTCTTCAGAAACCCGCGCTCTGGTCTTTGCCAAGGGCGCAAACACTCCGTCAATTGAGGCTTGACATTTCCGACGTGGTAACACGGTCTGAGGTGACACGGGACGGTCCGCGACGGTCTATGAGCAATTTACCCACTGACATGCTGAATTCGACCTGAGTGGTGTGCGACTTTGACTTGAGATGCTCCACCCCATCCCACTCGGGCGGTGGAGGATTCTTCATGTACTCCTCAATGTGTCTGCTGTGTTGCCAGCGTCAGCAAGCACGGCGCTGGGTTTGGCGGCCTCGCATCTGCAAATCATCATGTTGGACCTGAGAGCCAGCAGAAAAACGTTCACCCAAAGCGCTTCTGCAGCATTCGTCGGTCCGTGAGCATCCGGCGTCTCATCATCTGGTCTGTCCGCGACCGCGAGGAGAGAAGACACCTGCAACTGAAGAGCACCCCCCGACAAAGCCTCATGTCATGACGTAACGATGTAATGGCTGCAGCGCATTGGCCAGCCAGGCTTGAATGGCTTGACATTCTCTGCTCCAGCAGACGGTTCGACTCAACAGACTCATGTTGACCAAACGTATTCTTCGGATTAGCTTCGGAATCAATTGTAGCGACACTCCGCTCACATCGAGCCTCCTCGAACTTTTCCATAGCCTCCTTGAACTTCCGGGCCTTACACGCAGCAGCCGACGGGAATCCCATGGAATCGGCAGTTTTATGGACCGAGGGACCAAGTAGAGGTCGAAGGCAAGCTGGTGACGTCTCACGGCCTCTTGCATCGATTCACAGCCTCAAATTTCTTTGTCTCCCCTTCGCATGCCCCGTGACGCTGAGCCTCTGCCAGCGACGGGTGCTCATTCATGAAGCCAATGACTTCACAAACCTAATCCGAGAACGGAGATGGAGACAGCACGCACAAGAAACTAGTTACTCCAGCAATGACCTTGGTGGGTTCGCTCTTGCCTTTCACGGCCACCAGATCAACCGGCCTTCGGTGCGAGACGTTGGTATAATGCGCGGTTATCCTCGAATGACGCGAACCGAAAAACCCTTGAACGAAAGTTGGATCGGTCATCGAGTTCGTCTTACACCATGGACTGCAGACACCAGAACGCACTCTGTTTCACGAGCTCGGGCGTTATTGGTTTCCGAAGAGGTGATGCTACATCGATACAAGAAGTTGAGAGTTTGATTTAGCAGTATTTATTGGAAAAGCCATGGAATGCTTAAGACACCAGGGTTTGCCGGTGCAAACCGTAGGGTCAGATCCGGGGCAAAGGCCGGGGTAAGATTTGGGCCTGTCGGGAACCTGTCGGGAGCTGTCGGGACGGACCTTCACTCCCGCCAAACCCTTCTGGAATGCTTAAGGCGGGTTCCAAGTTGGTGTCAAAGCTGGTGCGGAAAGGTGTCAGAGTCAGCTTCCGACAGGTTCCCGACTGCCCCGACAGCTCCTGACAGCTCCCGACAGGTTCCCGACAGGTTCCCGACAGGTCCCGACAGGTTCCCGACAGGTTCCCGACAGCTCCCGACAGCTCCCGACAGGTTCCCGACAGCTCCCGACAGGTTCCCGACAGCTCCCGACAGGTTCCCGACAGCTCCCGACAGGTTCCCGACAGCTCCCGACAGCTCCCGACAGGTTCCCGACAGCTCCCGACAGCTCCCCGACAGCTCCCAAAAGCTTTTGACGGGGTTCCCGACAATTCCCGACAGGCCCAGATCGGTGCAGAATGGTACGACCCCGCCCAGCCTAGCCAGCCCAGCAACAGCCCAGCCGCCCAGCCCGGCCCAGCCCAGGCCCAGCCAGCCAGCACCGTTCAAAACTCACAGGTCAAGCCCCGCCTTGCGCACCAAAAACACTTGAATCCAGCCCTGCTTTGCACACCATCCAGCCGTGCTTTATGCACCAAAATGACTTCAAACTTACCTCAAACCCTATCTTGTCCTACTTTGTCCCCAGCTCAAACCCGGAAACCTCTGGATCTGGCCCCGGAATGCGAAAAGTAGTCTTAAGCATTCCAGGGCCTGAACAAAGTATTTAGCATCGGAGAAATGTTTGGTGACGGTGACAACCAAACTCTATGTGCAAGCGCTGTTGGAACACGAAGCGCGTGAACGACATGTCAATCTGCGGCAAGAGTTCCCAGCGCTGGGTTCACAAGCTTTAGAGTTCCCGATTTCAGGGATCCTGCACATGCGAGCTAAGCAAGCACGCAGTACGTGTTCGGCACACCTGTGGTGAAGCATTAAACCAATGCGCGCAAAGCCAAAGCTTGAGCTTCCTGGGAGGGCTTCTCACCTGCTAGCTGCTACCTGTTTCTGCCGGCGACTCTGATGACTCGACAAAAAGTGCTCTGATTCCCCGATCGCACCACGTCCCTCCAGCATCGCTCACGGCACAAAAGAGAGCCCCTGCCTGGTTGCGAGGTTCAAGGGTATCTGCTGCGCAGACAGCGCATTTTGGCTGCAGAGTGTGCAGGTTCCATATCTGGTATTCAAGCCTTGGAAGTAGCAAGGACTCAAGGAACGTCTCTCGGAGTCTCTCGGAAGGCACAGGTCTCAGCTGGGTCCGGGCCGTGGGCCTTTCATGCGCGCCGCGAGGTTCACACCGTCTCCGAGCAAGCCGTACTTGATCCGCTGGTGGGAACCAATGTTCCTGCAAGGAAAACGAGGACCAGAAGAAGCAGGCAGTCGCAGTCTCAGATGAAGAGCACTCTTGCAGAGCGCTCCCTGCGAGGATGGAAGCCTCAGTCCGAATGATTTCCAGACAAAGAAAATGAGATGTAATAGTCTTCACGTCAGAAGGCGGTGTGGACTCCAACTCGACACCGAATCGGCTTCTCCTGCGTTGCACGATGGCAATCGGCTTTGGCACACGCCGAAGTGCGGAGCACGTCCTGATTCCCAACCAGGACCTTGTGCTGGACGACAGCCTGTGCACTTTCTGTCTGACAGATCGCTAGCGTAAGTCACTTGTCAACGTGTCGCAGGCCTTCTGAATTGCCAGGGCACACAGCAAGCCAGCTGAAGCCTTGGCTTGCATGCTGCACTTCAGTGCATGGATCACAAAACTGAGCATGAAACTCGTCGGGTAGCATGGACAAGCTCTGCTTCCCTCAACATGTCTTTCCGTCTTTATTTCTTTCTTTCTCTGTTTCCTTCTTTCAAGTGGACTCTTTCTGCGGAGGGTCAGAAGGCGAGGGAGCCCAACCCTGGCGCCGACACTCTTGCGCACACAGGGATGTGAGGGGTATCCTATCGTCAGCAAAGAGTAACACTCTTCACGATGTGCACTCTCCACAACACAGGTGAACTCTCTCTTCTCATCCACCGCCCAAGGAGCAAAGGGAAGTCTCCCCAGGGCTAGCCTACGCAGTGGATGCACTGTCGGATACTGTCGGCATACCTCCACATCATACTTTTAGACATGAAGCCTTCGCATGCCTTCGTGGGGGGCAGCTTCGTCGGCTCCTAAGATCCAACTAGAATGATCCTCCAGGCGATGGGACCAACGTTTAGGTTGCGGGTTTAAGGTTAAATCTGTTTTCAGTGGATTACTTCTTCCCAACCGCTTCTCCCTAACCATCCCATTTCCCCAGACAAAGGCTTTATTCCTTTGGGTTTACGTTGAGGTCGGCAGGAGTAAGGTCTCGGTTGAGGTGTCAGTGCGGGTGCATTACTCGTAGTAGTGACCCGCTTCATCCCCGTTCCCTTAAGCCCTTGGCCCAACCTTCAGCGGTGGCTCATTCCGGGGGCCCGCCGTGCGCGGTGAGCTTCAACCCAATCGGCAACAAAGTCGGGCACTGCAGTAGACTCCCTGATTCAACTTTCCTTCGCCCCAACGTCCCTCCCTCCCTCCCTTCCTTGACGCGACGGACGCATCGCGCAAGCGAGTGGGGTTAAGGGCATTTCTGCAGGCAGAGGAAGGAAGAAGTGACGGAAGGAAAGGAAAGGGCCGTCGGATCTCTCTCGCAAGCAACAAGCGGCGGCGGCGGCATTTGCAACAACTGCAGCAACAACAACAACAACCACCATTATGCCGTCTGCTCACCTTGCCTTTATTTTAACTAAAATGCAGCCTGCTGCAGAACCTGACTGTGCGGCTGGCGTGGTTCGGCAGCTTGTTGGGCGCATTGAACACGGCCATGACCTGAAACGGGTTGTGGAACTCTTTCCCAGAGCATGCAGGTACCAACCCCAGGGCCACATCAGCACTGTGCCTCATCGCTGATGAACTCCAGAAACGTCCCATTCTGGAGCTGTATTTCATCTGCGATTGTTCCCAAGACGCCTCTCGCAAATCTCTGCTGTCAAGCATTCCTGGTACATGCTACTTAACAAGACCACAAAGCTCAATCGAGTCTGGAGTGATTGACGCTGCTATGAGGAATCCCTGACACCATCTGGCAATACGCCAGCTGTCATCAGATGTCAAGCTGTCAAGCCTGTGAGCTTGCTCAGGACGGCGTCGGGATCCATCTCCCGACAAGTCTCCTGGAATCAAGAGGAAGAAATCGCGGACCTACTACGTATACGCGCCGTGGGCGGCCACCGGTCGACAAGTGCTTCAAGAGGTAAAGACTCGGCTTTTCAGCACGTGCACTGAAAGATGCACCGACATGCACCTTAACTTTTGCCAGAGTTTAGGAGGACTGGGAACCAGTCAAAGCAGCAGTTGGGACTGCAGTTGGGAGGCCCAAATCTGCAATCGCAGGAACGTAGGACTGCAGACTGCAGGCTCTGCGGCCTGAAACAGGAAGGATGTAGGAAAAACCATAGAGTACGGAGAAGATCGAATGCCACCAACTCTAAGCCTCAAGGTTTTGGAGAGAATGATGTTTTCGGGCGATTGAACAAAGAGGAAAAGATTCCGAAATTGAAGACAGCCCTATCTCCAGCTTGTCTTGCACGCCTGCACCAAATCCGTACGCCTGGGCCCTGCTGTGACCCTAGACGACAATGAGTCGGTCCCAAAGAAAGGCTATTACTCCCCCTCACCCAACACCCGCACCCCAACCCCCTCACCCACCCTAACTGCACGGAATCACTCGAAACATCCTGAATATGCAAGAACCACAAAATCCAAAGTCCGAAGTCCAAGAGCAAGGAAAGAACATAAACATCGAAAAGCAAACAAAAAGAGGATGAGAACTCTTGAAGCGGATGGCCAGAAGAAGTTGAAGTAGCAAACAAAACCCAGGGAAAAAAACTGTGATTTAAGCCAACGGCCCTGAGAAACGTGGTGGCCGCGCAAGGCGAGTGGTCCAACTACTTGGAATGTCTGTTCGCATGTCCTCGAAGCCTTCGATGTCACAGAACAACACCGTGACCTTGCAAATGAAGGTGTGCAACTGCAGTCAAAACGGCATGTACTTTACACACGCTTTTCACTAGCTGATACCTTTTCAGACTTATGTTTTACTTGAGTGCGAACACAGCATTGGCCACTGTAGAAACGCCGACGGTGGGATCTAATCAAGATTTTCGTCGGCACATAGCACGAAACACAGTGTACCACTACTTTCTGATCTCGCGCTACCAGTCTGGCACTGAGGACGAGGCCTCGCATCTGGTTACTCCCACTTTCGCCTCTTTGCGCAACAGTTCGCCAAAGCTCGAAGCCTCATGCCACGTGCTACCTGGCCTCTAGGCCTGCATCGTAGAAGCGTTCCACCACAGACGGGGGAACAAAAAGCGACCAGGACCTGCCGGCTGCGCTTGCCGGTACTCTCACTGTTCCGCATTCATGGCACGATGTCCCGCGTCGACCTGCCTAGCGACCTAGACCCATCAAGCTACACAGGACACTGGATAGTTCAAGCAGGCACACAAGGACTATCAACCTTTGCAAAAGTGTCACATCGACAGTCTTGAAGGAAAAGACATTTGTCAAATGTTTGGCTGTTGCAAATTACAGGACCCTGGCTTCTAGATGTTTCCGGAGCCCTGCATTCCCAAGAGCTGAGCATCCATTACTATGCTTCACAAACGTTGTGCCCGTACAAATCCAGCGAGTTATGCCTGGAAATGTGTTCCCTCTCAAATCGCACTTAAAGAACTCTTGTCGAACACAAATCAGGTTTTCTATTTGGGAATCGTAGTTTCGAAATTGGCTGTAGCGTTGATGCAAACGAATATCGGCTCTCTCCGTGGGATGTACAGCGCTGTGACACACCGTTAGGCGACGCGGGAACGACGGGAGCCATCGCACGGAGAGACATTTACGTGCGGACTCGGGGGTGCGGCCGCTTGCCGTCTAAATACCTCTCAATTCGCTCCAGAAGCCTATGAAATCGAAAGCTGCAGTTCTCACCTTCTGCTTCACACAATTCTGAGTTACACCGGCAAGTTGCCGGTTGCCTGATAGCGCTGCGCATGGCACGGAAAGCCGTGTTGAGGTTCTCAAGCTCCTGCAATCCCAGGCGCCCTGCAATGCAAAGGAGCCACTTCCCGAAGCATGCTTGCATCCTCTGCAGTCTTGATTTTGTCTTTCGAGGTTTTGCTGCTCAACATCCCAGTGCCGGGGGCAGTGTGATCGTCAATGCCAACCTGACAACAAGGAAAGAGCAGAATGGCAGAGGCAAAGGGCGGTCGCAAGTGAGTTTTCGGCCAATTCCAGGCTGGACATCGCCACCATGTCGTCCACCAGAGATCGAAGGGGCTGCAACAAAGTGGTCGAAAACCTTACTCTGGTTTGTGGTCAATCTCGAACCACCAAAACTCCGTGCGAAGTCCATGATACTTTGCATTGGTGGATGCTTGGACAGCAGCCTGTTATTCCTCTTGCCTCACTGAGGAGAGCACGTTGAGATCTTCACATTGAGCACATAAACCTTAGAACCACAGAGGACGGCGGCGCACAATGCATCAAGCTGAACCGTACATCCAGTCAGTCTCGCGCTGACAGTGGGATCTGAATCAACACTGCAAGGACTGTCATCAAGGACCAGAACGCAGCTTCCTGTCCATGGCATGGCATCTTGAATTTGCATGATTTGTAGTTTGACGCTGCCACTTCTGCTTGCCTTGGCCTTCTCCGACAAGTCTACCAAAGAAAGGCCTCAGCCAGCTGTGCGAGATACTTTACCAGCAAATCTCCGGGACAATCCTTCGAAGAAGGTCCGGGCTGCCAGTCCTCTCAGCCAAGAGCTCAACAATCCGAAGCTCAGAAACTCAGCTCTCAGTCCTGTTCCCCTCCAAGAGTGGCAACTCGTCGCAGTCGTCCACCAGCCTGCTGAGGACGCAGCACGTCCTGAGAGCGGGGACAGCGCAGCTTTGGCTGGAAGTGACGGTGGTAGAGGCGCCATGAGAGGGGAGATGAGAAGGAAGAACCGTCTCAAGCGCCGGGCTTCTCGATCTCTGTCGGGCGAAGCTTTGCCTTGCTCATGGAAGAAGTGAAGCAGAAATGGAAGACGAAGAAGAAAAGAGAGAGAGAGAGAGAAAGAGCTACTTCACCGCGTTGCCTCGGCGGCCAGCAAGTCGGTCCGCGCGAGAGCAAGCTCGGGCGAAATCTGCCGTGCCTGAGCTCCCGAGCACCCTCCAAAAGCCGCCAGCAACGGCCTAGGCCTTCCTTGACACACAGCACCCGGCTTGAGCCGTCAAGCAGTTGCCACCTTCGAAGTGCTCCCAGCCTGCGCACTGACCACGCGACTGGTCAGAGCTGACCCATGCTGAACGTGGAATGCTGACCATACCACACACAACTCAGAAAGCTTCCATCCAGGTAGAGGTACATCACCGCGTTGTGTCTGAGCAAGCCCGCACTCACAGCTGGGCACTCGAATATGCCAAAGATGCTGTATGCTGAACCATGACCAGCGGAACCGTAAGATGCCAGAACTACTCCGCGGCATTTCATACAACGAAGCGCTGAGCACGCCGCCGGGCATAAACATCTATCTGCGCCTTATGACTGCACCACGAATCTACGCATTCAGGCGAATTCCGTCTAAGCCGTCCTTTCCAGCGCTGCACATCATGATTTCGCTGCAAAGCACAGATATATAAGGTCAAAACGAGACCGAAACGTGGTTCCGACTTTCGAAGCGGAAACTGTAATAGCGCGGCGTCTGTTCGTCATGTGCTGGGAGCTGTGATCACATCAGGGCAACACATCGCTGCATTTAGTTCTCTCTGACCCCAGATAGTTGTGTCGCGAAGCTCGTGACTCCTCTCTCGGATGCATATAGTCTTTCGATCTTTGATTCGGGCGTGTTCCACTCGGAAGTCTCTGACTATTCGCACAACTCAGAAGTCGTGCAACAAGCCAGTTTGTCCCCCTCCCCTTCATCGGCAATGGGACTCGCAAGCCTGGCATGCCATCTCAAACAGCCCCCGAAGCTGCGACTGCCGACTTGTGCAGAGCCTGGAACACTTCGAAGCGTTGAGGAACTCTCACCGTGCAGATGCAACAAGGTTCGTTCTTCAGAACTGCCTGGTTCGCGAAACGATATTGACTTGTCCTTGCCCTGCTATCTTCCTTTGTACCAGTATGTTCCTTGTTGCCATGATGGGAAGTGTGGCATTGCGCTTTGGATTTAGATGCTGAGTTTCGGACACACAGGTGTGCCCAGTCGCCAGCCGGGCCCTGCAAGACAAAAAACGATGACCATGCTCCACTGGCCCGGGAGGCAAGCAGCGGCAGGCATTCGCCTGTGCATGGACTTCCCTGGCAATCTTGTCCAACTGCGTAAGCCTCGGTGCCAAAACAAAGCAACGGGCACAAGGCGGTGCGGTTGAGCCAAGAACCCATGCGAAGGAGCATAGTCAACGATGTCTACCTCACGCAGTGCAGCGAACTGAGTATTGCAGCATATCATGCGTGACCTGCAGAAACTAGCCTCCAGCAGCGACATGGTTGCCACCAGCGCCAAGATTCCGACACAGACCTTCTGCCGATCTTCTGCGCACTGCAAAAGCTTGTAGTTTTTCAGACATGAAAAAAAAAAAAAAAAAGGAGGTCAAGGTCCAAGGAGGTGCCTTCATGGCAGTACTGTCGCTCAGCCTTTGGGTCAGTGCCCAGACCTCAACACTCAAGAGGAGCTAAGAGGGGTGAAGAAGACTTAAGCGAGGAAAGCAATACTCCGAAGGCTGTACTGGGTTGGGCACACTGCCACCATCGCTTTCCAAATCTTGACGATGAAACTCAACCAAATGCACCCCTGCCGAGGCTGGCAGGCTTGCTGACGTTCATGCCAGTCACTGCCACGGTGGCCTAGCTTGGTCTGCATCAGGATCTCGCTGAAAACGTCGACGCTAAGAGAAGGTTCTTAGTTGGCTTCAGCTTATCGCTTGCGACTCGCCCGCGTCAAGTCAATTCGCGATTTCGGTTTGGGTTCGAGCATTTGTTCACTTTGCCTTCTGAATTGGTAGTTCCCGGATTTCGTGCTTCGAAAGGTAGCCCGCGCTGTCTCTGACAGACGCTGGGGTCGAGTCTCCTGCTTTTGGTCGCCATTCCTTCGTGCCTTACCGATCGCTCCAGGGCTGGTTGGATTAAGGCGGTTGACCTTCGAGTTCGCTTGGCAAAGATGGATGCCGCGGATGGACGGAGTCGCGTGAAACTTCCGAATCAACAATTACCAAATCAACCATCCACAGAATACTTCTGATACATGGATATGCACAGCATGTGCTCAGCACCATCTTCCTCAGAATCTGGCTAAGCTCGTTCGTATGACCACTTTCGTCTTGGCCACAATTCAACAAAAGCTCAGAATCCTCACAGCGGTACATGCACAAGGATGGGGAACTCTGTCTCACGATTGCCACGAGCCTTCTCGAGTATCTTGACTACATCACTCTTATCCGGGCGCACGTGAGGACACTCCTGGCCATATGGCAAGGAAGCGCAGCGTGTGCCAAGTTCGGCATACCCGGCCTGTAAAAGGGCCAAGTAGAAAATCTTCAAATCGAAAACGGAGAGCTTGCCATCCCCTTGACGCAAACAGATGGGGCCAGCATTGAACGAATCTAGGCCTTTCGACAAGCCAGGACCCCTGCGAGCCGTGTCCAAGTATTGGAAAAGACGCCACAAGCGCCTCTGGTCTCGAATGTCACACATGGAGGACCAGGCCAGTTCTTCCGCTCCAGGGTCTGCACCGCAAGAGCAGCTGTTCGGCAAGTGCATTGCTCTGTTTCCTCGACAGCAATTATTCAGTTGATCTGGAACACCCAGCTCCTTTCAGGCACCTGTAAGCACGCACAAAGAGCATGTGTCCTGCAAAGCTTGAGCACGCGTGGAATCAGCTTGGTGACCTGCTGCGGCAAAAGACCGCATGGGCATGTCTGGTTAAAGGATACACAGATCAATGATAATCAAGATTTGGTTTGGATTTGACCTCTGTAGAAGCAAGAAAAAACTCAAGAAAGGATGGCTCGCTCTAAGCTCACTCGTGCGACCGAGTCTCTCGAGCCACTCTTCCGATTCTGGCAATCCGTGCTATCCTGGAGGATCGCGCCTGCATCCACCCCGGCTCAATGGCGAAGGAGTAGGCTGGAGTCTACCTCTGTCAGTCGCCCTTCTGAGCTCCGCCGCTAGTTTCGTGAGCGATGAGCTCTTCGTGTCCACCGCAATTTCGGCCATGAACCTGGACATGCTGATCGATGGCCTTTCGTGTTCGTGCTTTCCTCTCGCGGGATTTAATTGATATGTACTTGTGTGGACGGGACACCCCGTCCTCATGGCAGCCGGTCTGGCGCACCGGCCAAAATGGCTCCACCCGACGTCAAGTTCGTGTCAAATCAGCGTTTCGGGCTTGTGTTTAAAAGATTAAATGGCCATCTCCAAGCGTTGCGACAGGTTCTTACAGGACGCATTGGATCCTTGGCCAACGCTCCCGCCGCCACTGCAGCCATTCCTCCGCACCCTCCCTCCACGTCTGGATCAGGCATCAGGCTGGACACATTGCCGCTGAGCACACGGGCAGGCGAATGGCTGTCCCAGGACGGTAAATCAAATCAGCATGGCCAGGGTCCCGGCCATGTGTCAGCAAAGATGCTGACCAGCGAAACCTCATCACCAACAATATCCTAGCTTGGCAGCGCACAGTGCAGCACTTCGCACAATGCCTGGGTGCCGCACAGCATCCAGTACAAAGGGTATCGACAATATGTAGCTTCCTGATGACGTTGCTGGTGTTGCTGGTAGCGGCCCAATAGTGCGATAGAAGGCAAGGCCTTCCACGGACACAATGAGGATGAGTTCGAACAAGAACCTGTCAGAGCGGAAACTCGACTCCAAAGCCGGAGAAAGTTCTGCCAAGGTACAGAAAGAAGACAATGGTGTTCGCGGTGAGGAGCGTTTTCTGGCATGAGACACGCTTTACCACGGCACTGTCTGGCAACTCAAGCAAAGTAACAAGGCGGAAGAGCATCTGCATCGCTGTTTGTTAAGATCTGGATGAGATCTGGAAAAACGAGAATATAGACCGTGAGCCTCAGTGCTTTGCAGCAGCAGCAGTTTGTTGACATGGAACTGAACAACGGTGCATCGACATTTAAGAACCAAACAGGAAAAAGAACACGATGAAGGGCTTCTTGTTGGTAATGCTCTGGAGAGATCTTGAAACCTCGCTCATGCACTATCGGCCTACCCCATCCATGACATTCGAAGTCTTTGCGGCCTTGAAGGCGCGCGGCCCACAAAGACGTGTTCGCAGCCATGCCTGCAACATGCGAAAAGCTGAAAGTCCTGTCAGTACTGGAACAGCTTGGATGCTGCATCGAATCTCTCGCAAAAAGCCCTCAGTATGCGATCTTGACCTGCTCCGGTTTTCTGTTTTTTCGTATCCCCTGGCGGCGCCTCAGCCTTCTTCATGGCCACCCGCATGGAGCTGCTCTCGACCATACCCCCTGCAGACCGCTTCAGCCTGCAAACGACCAGAGGCTTGTCCGCGGAGAGGGCTTCTTCGATTGCAGGCACTAAGTCTTGCACAGCTCCTCCTGTGCCACAAAAACCTCGGAGCATTGCAAGTTCCAGCCGTGTGTTTTCAATTTTCCAGCGGAGTCTTGCGGGCAAGTCACATGTCTAAGCACGGCCGGCAAGCCAAGATGCTGCGGCTGGAGCTTGTAATTCTTCCTGAGAGCTCGCGACATGAGGTCCAGGTACGGCTAGCCAAAAAAACACCTTGTGCTAAATGGCAACTTGATGTTGCCAAGACTCTTTCTGGCAGGAAAAAGAGCCAGCATAAGCTCCTGCCAAAAGTGCACCGGTCTTCAAGAAACTTATAGAAACCTTATCCTCGGCGGCATTTCATGCCACGCCTGCCCAAGTCACAGTGTCCTAGAGCCGGTTTGACGGGCCTCGCTTTTCATGTCGGAGATTGTTTGGCACGGGATACAAACGACAACGCACAGTGCTTGCGAACGTACAGCCGTAGTGGCCGCTTCAGCTTTCCAGCGAACCGGCATTGCGACGTGCACTCGCAGCCTGCCTCGAACCAGCCGGCAGCCGGCATGAAGGCAAGGACTTCCCGGAGATCTCACATCTTGTGGTCGGTGTTGCCTTCCGCCACTCTCGTCCTCATTCACGTGCCGATCCCAGTGTCACTCCTTCCTCAAACTGCCAGGTAAACTTGCAAAGCTTTGGTCCAGGGAAGCTGCTGCGGGCAACCAACGCCGTCGGTGACGAAGCAACACCGTAAACAATTGAAAGGAGCTCACCTCCATGTCCGTTGGGATTCGAGGGCCAGTCCTTGGGCCCATCTTTTGGCCCATCGTGGGATCCACGTCTTCATGGAGCTTCCCGTGTCGTTTCACCTAAGGCCACAATTGCTTAGCCCGGCCTCTTGCCGCCTCGTGTTTGCCACCCTTGCGCTTGCTTGTTGCTGCCCAATCCTGCTGTCTTCCTTTTCGTGCACGTAGAGATGGAAAACCGAAGAGCTTTCCCTGTCCCTTCCAGGCGTCGGACTGGTTTGTAAACTCTGCCATTCTTCGTGAGAAACTAGGCCAACAATCTCCCTCTGTCGTGATGACACCAACCTTCTCCATAGGCTGCAGGTCCCATTTCATCTGTTTGTTGCCGTCGAGGCTCGAGCTCGCCAACACACCCTGACAGTGCATCCCGGAGCCTCCTCGTGACCCTTCTCCAAGCTGCGCCTTTCTGCTTCGTCGCCACTGCCTTCTGTAGGCGAACATGACCTGGCGGTGGTACTCCTTCAGCTCTGGCCCGGACCGGATGCCTGTAAGGGAATCCTGTCATAGTCCGCTGCCACCAGAATCTCGTCGTCGCGGTTTGCAGGGAGCGCCCGCCACCCCCACTACCAGCGCAAAGTGCTCTGGCAGCTGACAGAACACCTTCTACACTACACCACAAAGGGATCTGTGTTGTGAAAATCTCGTGCATTCGCTGTTGTGGATTGTTGTGAACTGCGAGCCAACCAACTGCTTGTTTCGGACCAACTGTGCTCGAGAAGGTCGGCGGTGGCATTAAACGGGTTTTGCCTTGAGGTAGCTTCGACAGCGTAGAGCGCAGAAATCCGCCGCACCCTTGGGAGCCGGTGCAAAAAAACCGCGGTGCTTCTGAAAACCAGTTTTGAGCATTAGAAAGCACCCAGTAACACAGTGACGCGATCCCCGCATTGTGGTCCTTAACTTCGCCCAAAGCAGTCCTTCTCTTGCCCGAACTCTTTCTCACCAGAGCCACTGCCGCCTGCACGGGACATGCCCACATCACAGCATGTTGGCTCCCACTTCGCACGCCGGAAGACCTTGGCGATTCCATCCGACTGGATTGCTTGAACCTTTTAAGTGCTCATCTTCCTCCGCAACATTGAAGCCCAGCCTGCGATGCGCGTTGATGTGTCAGCTACAAATCTTGCTGATTGGTGACTTCGAGAAACCTTCAGCATGGCATTTCAGCTCCGACCGACGCACCAGCCCAATTGCATTTCCGTATCAGGAACTAGCTCAACATCGACAAACACGGCCTTAACCTTGGCTGTTCTCAGGTTCTGCGGATCACTGGGATCCTGGCTTCTCCAGCGTTCGCTCCAAATCTGACCTTCCGGTTCAGTGCCCGAATCAGAATCGACGCTGCAAGACCGCTTCAAAGCAGCGCCTTTCGACGCCTGCTTGCGTCTTGTCGCGAGTGAGCATTGTCGAAACATCCTGAATCTTCTTCAACACGGTCTTCACAAACTTCGTGCGAATCAACCAACGTGCATGCATCTTGCGGGCTAGAGAAGGCAAACCAGCCTAATCTGACACAAATTCTCTAAATGTCTGGAGTCCAAACTTTGGTGACCAAGGTCCCGGCGTTCTCCAAGAGTGCTGCAGCATTCTCAGCATGCCTCGCAATCAACTCGTTGGACTCATGACGACGAATTCTGTTGATCTCAGTTCTTCGCTGCACGCCCTCGTCCTCAGCGGCATTTATGCAAGCAAAACCTGCTCAACCTTTGAGGTATGCAGTACTGTCCAATGGAGCAGAAAAATGGGATGCACACGGACTCGTCCGACCCATCACCCTCGTCAGACCTCCAAAAGATCAGGTCGTCTTCCGCAAAAGCTGACAAGGTCACCGTGCCTGGTACTGTTGCCGATACCCCTTGGCGCGACTGTTCTTGCAGAAGTTCTTCAATGTTAAGCATTTCTGAGTGGAGGACTGGCTGGTTACCACAACATGCCTCGAATCAGAACGGCTTGAACACCCGGCTGCGTCGTAGCTGATCTTGGCCTGTTTCTCTTTGCGTTCTCCTTCTCGGCCTTGCCAAAGACTGCCGTTGCAACACTTAGCTCATTCGTGAAGTATACGACGAAACTCTGTCCGGCATGTAAAAGCATGAATACCCGTTCCCATTGTCGTCCTCATCTTCGTCGTCCGATTCCTGGCATGCTCGCATGAATAGCCTGGTCTGTAGGACTGAACTAACTAGACGCGAGACCTCCTCCTCTCCAACATCCTCAGCAGGATGAGAGGTTGCCTGAAGCAGTATGGACAATCCACCGTCGCATGCCTTCAACGGGACTTCCTAACAGGAGCAATGCCAGTGCAAACGTAACTGGGAGCAAGTGCCACTGGAGAAATTCTGACCTGGCCCGTCATCGTGACCTGCCAGAATGGCACTGAGCTTGCGAGATGGACGCCAACACGCGAAGCTGCACCTTCGGCTGACTTCCATCCCGCACAGACTAATGCCGGAGTTTCGCATGGTGCTGAATCCTTCGATTACGATTAATGCATGGCAGACGTGCTTCTTACATTTGGTGGGTCTCTGGGCGCTCCCTGCTTCTCATGTTTACAAGCTCTAGGTGGCAGCTGTCAGAAGCATGCTCTTCCGCTGTAGACTCGTTGTTCTATGCCTGGAGCCAGTCGACCGATGCAAAGGAACCTGGACTAGGGACAGGCGGCACCACTCAATGATGTGCCCTGATAAGGTGATCTCAGAATCTCAGCTGCTGTCAAGCCAAGTATCGCCCAATGCTTCAAGGATCTCCACGGATCAGAGGCACAGCATTTCTTTTTGATGCGGCATACACACTCTGACGAGAGCATGGCACATCTCAAAACCCTGAAGTATGGGAGCGGCTTCTCTGAAGGCTCCCAGAGAGGAATCTCAACAATTGCTTGCTGAGTTCCTACACCGTGCGATTAACCAAAAGGCAAAATTCTAGCGTGCGAATTGTGCGAAGAGCCTACTCTTCAGCTGCACGTAAAGACTGGTCCATACGACCAGTCCACAGGCAGCGCCTCTGAATTGTAACGCTGCGGTGGATAGTTATCAAGAACTTAACGGCGGGGCCCACGAGAGCAGTCACCCGCCTGAATGCTCAGCATCACAGTATCTACATTTAGAAGGAATGTCCGGTCAATGTGGATTTCAGCTATTCCGTGCGAGCCGTCCCAAATCCCCGTTGTAACTCCCCAGCTGAGATGCGCCGACCTGGAATGCCCGACGTGAAACTTCCAGCTCTCCCCACGGACCAGGAAGGCATCCTTTGTGTGATCCCGCTTCCCAGGAGTACGGAGACTTCCGAACCTTTGTGGACACCTTGCGGACGTAGTGGCCTCAGCCTTGAAACCGGAAGACATTCGGCGAAAGACGAGGAAAGAAAACAAAACATGGTGCCTCTGCGCAGTATCAGTTCTCTAGGTGGATCCCAAACCGGACTACGAGACTGATAACTATCCAGGTGGAAAACTAAAGTGTGCAGTAGCGGCGACTTTGGACCGTTACTTTGGACACCCTGCCATGCAGGTACGAAGCTAACTATTGCAGCAGAAGCTGCTCACTTTGCTGGCTCGATACCAAACCTGGCATGTCAAAAAAATCCCGCCGCTCTCTCACGAGTCTCTGAAAGAATATGCAACAATCAAGCTGCTGTACCACTGTCCGGGTCTCAAGCCGAGCAAACCTCCAGCACATGGACGATTACCGGGAAAGGAGTTCTGCGCTTTTTGTTGGAGGCCTTCAATCTCCGCAGTGGCTGCCACGATCCCGGGCCTCTGCCATGCAGAACAATGGTCCGAAAATGTGACAAAGACGATCCTCAGAACGCCGCTGGCCACGATTTTGCCATATCTGCGCAAACATGGCGTCGAAACCCTTTTTACCTCGGACACGTGCCGGTTCCATTTTATTTGCATAGACTAGAACACCAATAGTAGCAAGCCGACAATGACAATTTCGCGAGAAGGCGGATTAAGATCACGGCTCAGAGATATCCCTTGCTTTCTCAATGGGTCAGCACCTGGAAATCCATGCATCCGACAGCCGGCTGTCTGAAGGACAGCGCATCATCTGAGCATGTTGCAGGCAGCGGCGAAGACTGGCCCAAGGAGGGCCTTCGCCTCTTTCAAGCCATGGGCTCTCTGTAAACAAGCAGATAAGGTCCACCTTGCCCATGTCGGAGTGGAATTCCGCCTTCATCCTCACTCGGATATCTCCGAACTCACAACATTAAATCATCAGAACACTCCTGAGCACGTTCTTCTGGAATGGCTCTTTCTCGACGGCATCATGGATGTCCTCAACCGCGTCAGGCGCTCGAATGCAAGATGTGCTCTGACCTTTGAAAGCTGCAGCTTCTCCTCCAGAAGGGTAAGGAGCTGCTTGAGGCTCAGCTCCTGTGCAGCGCGGCAGCCGGCAGCTTTTGAAAAAAAACATGTTGCTGCTTTGGTCTCCTTGCTCTCCTTGGTGGAAGGACTTGACGGCAAACTACACCCCAGGAACCTCGTCCAGAGCAGCAAAGGCCAACATCATCCACCATAGTACAGCTCGGGGACTCTACGCTCGCGAGACAGGTAGCAGGAGTTCCCTTGGCCCTTCCAGCTTCTCTGTGTCGGAAATGCTGACGAAACCTCCTCCACTACCTCAGTCCATCAAGCGAGTGCAACCAGCTGAGCAGAAACGCCGGCCCCGACTTAGCCCAGTGCGTCGCACGATCTTTGCATTTGCCAGAGATTTCTCACCCACCCTGATACATGCTCTGGCTCTCTGTGACGTCCGAAATGGTCAGCTGGTCAGGTGCCTCTGCATAACCTCTTTGCGCAACTGCAGGATGGTGCTCCTCTCCGGAACAGACAGAACGAGACCTGAGAAAGTCAAAGCATCTGAAACCAACCGCCGTTGGGATGGCGACCACTGCTTGCACTGCCATGCCTAAAGCAAAAGACATGGATCTGCTTGAAGCCATGGAGCAAGCAACGGAAAGGCTGCAGACACTGTCCCCTACGGTTTCGGTCGAGTATAAGCCTGACGTCTTCATGGTTGATACCCCAGACGGTTTTTAAACACGAGAGCCCGCGTACCTATGATTGTTGAGGCTGCGCTTGATGTCAAAAAAGCGCACTGCTACATCCAACCTTTCTGAGAGCGGTTTGACGAGCCTGGCTGTGGCCGATTAAGGTGGAGGAAGTGGATTATTCGCGTATGGAAGGGGGCGATATGGATGACGGCGTATCGCCGGAAGCTCATAAAGTCAAAATGGTCGTGCAGAAACTTAAATGCCAGGCCACAGCTGCCCAACGCTTATCCTACACAATTTGCTGCCATTTGCAAACTACAAGTCCGTTCGTGGCAACATCAGATACTCCTGATAGCCTGCGGGTATGGATTTCCATGAGGTCGTGAAACTTTACTCCAGCCATGTGCTTTCCACCAGGGAAGCCATTTTGAGGGTAGGTGAGGTTATTATTGTTCCTACAGCAGCAGGGCAGTCAACGGCAGAAAAACCAAGATTGAACGACCGGCTTGTAAAGATTGTAAAGGCAGTCGTTTCACATTGTTGGGTTTGCTGTCAGCATTGACACCAGCACCATACGGTTCAAGCTCTTTCCGTACTGATTTGTCCCCGCTCAAACCCAATCTCCCGAGAGTTATCACGAGGATATAGCTGGGCTCAGATTGTTTACCTCCCATCTCGAAGGAGTTCAAGTGCATGTTGCTCGTGAAGCTGGGGTTGTCGCCAGCTCTGTCTGCATTCGGAGTTTGTGCATGCTGCCATGAACGCATCATGAACACACTTATTCTGCTGCAAGCTATTACGCATGGAAGTGCTGACACGACCACGCAGGCCGGGTTTCACCACAGTTCCTCCATTGACTTCTCCCATGTCGGTCGCTCATCCGTATGCCATAGAATGGTTTTGGCTGACAGGTCGTGCTCAGATCCGGGCTTCATACACACAAGCTATTGCGGGCTGGGACATGCGAGTTCTCCCGAAAGGGAAGGGCCAGAGCTTCACGATGCCCGCCGTGACGTGCACCGCAATGTTCGCGATCACAGCCCGCCCCGAGGCTTTGGACATGATGATGAGCTTTACTGATGCGGGGAGTGACGGTCTCTGTGGCTCCAACCACTCTGTCGCTTTCTCCAGCTGGTACTCTTTCTCTTATTGCAGATGACACTCTGGACGCAAGGCACGAGTATGATGGCGCACACTGCTAAAATGTTTGATTCGATTATGATGCCATATACGACTGCGAGGCCAAATACGAGCATGATGCCAGATGCGATCGACTACGATACCAAATGCGACTATGATGCTAAAGACGGTGAAAAGGATGCATGAGATACGGATACAAAACTAGATACGGGTATGATGTCAGATCTTTTCGAGTCCCTTCAACCGGCTTTCAGTTTGTGCGGAGACATGCTTGTGGTGGGGGAGATTTAGAAGAGGCTTAACTTCTTGCCACCATTGCAGTCCGCTGTCGAGGTGATGCTGCTGCGTCTTGTCGTGCACATTTTCGTTCGCAGCGGTCTTACAATCTGAAAGATGCGTGGAGCAAAACTGCAAATGTTTGCAGCGACTTCAGGGTGGGTATAACATACCATCTCGTAAGAAGCGCAACAGCTTCATGCACGATCTCCACGGCAGCTGGTTTACTACTCGCGCAAGTTGAAAAACCAATTTTTGGCAAGCAAGCATGCACAAGCATGGGATGATTGTAGGCAGGCTTGTCGATGACAAACATATTGTGATGCTTACGTAGAAAGGGGGATCGTATTGCACTTTTTTGTTTCGATTCCAGCTCCTCCAAGACTCCAATGTCTAGAGTCTAGACAAGGCGGTTACCTCCAAAGGAAGTTGGCCGGGATGCCGCCGTACACCGAGGCTTTGCAGACGGGAGCCATAGAACCAAGACCACACAAAAAATCGCAATACCCGCGCAAAATCCAGGGGCGCTTGCCGCTTACATATGGGTTTTGGAAATTGGGGGTGACCGCTCCCTGATAGAATGCCCCACCGCCACCCCCCGCCCGCAGCCAAAACAAGCTGTTCTCAACAGAAGCTAGCTTGCAGTGCCAACAATCATGAATTCAAAATAATGCATCATCGCTCCGCGCAGATCCGTCCGCAGCAGTCTTCGCTGAAGCTAGCGACTTACAATGTAGAAGGGCTGTGAAAGGTGACTAAGTATGTCTACACTTTTGGGCTGATGGAAAACATGTGATCAGTGTTGCCAATGCAACAAACATATCCCACGGCTATTCGACAATTCTCCGAGGACGGAGATCTTATCCTCCATCGTGCAGCTGCGGACTCTCCCAACCATGTATTACAATGTATCACCATCGCTCAGTCGTTGTTCTCCACAGT